TAAAGAACAACATGTTATTTAAGAAAGTTTGACAGTAGTCTCCATCATGGTAGTGTGGCTGAATATCCTGTCTCCTCTATGTTCTCCCTAGAGTTTGATGGATATGACTTTTCTCTTAATTTCAAATGAAGCTTAGGTCATCTTACTCTGTGTGTTTGTGTGCGTGTGTGTGTGCGTGTGTGTTGCAAATAAGTTCACAATATCCTTAATAATTTCCAGTGTGGGTGCATTGGAAATTCATTCTCTTCAGTGAAATCAGCAGATTATATTGTGTTCTGTGCATAGCATCCAGAGCAAAAAAAAAAATCCCATTTCTAATTCTGAGGTTTAAAAGTTTCAAGGTTTTTGCCTCTGTGTTATTATTACACTTGTAATTACTGAGGCATTTGCACTGATCCATGTATGAGAGTCTGTTTATCAGGGAAAGAGGGGGTGGAGATAGCAGATGAACAAGGAAGGATTGTTGTCCGACTTCTTTATCCCTGTTCAGATCAGTGAGAGGCCTATATTATACATAGTTTATAAGTAGGATAGGCAATTTCCAGGAACTGTAAAGCACATTCTTAAGATCTCACATCTGACAGGGACTTAATAGCAGAATTTACAGGAAGTGTTAAGAAGTAGAATAAATGAGGTATTGGTATGGTATGGCAGAGTATTGATGGTGATTAGAGATAAACCAAGGGGGACAAAAAGACCTATGTTGTTCATTTCTGTTTCACCCAGCATGTGGCATGAAGCCAAGCCCATCATAAGTATTCCAGAACTGTTTTTGATAGAAAGATTCCAGAATGACCAAAGACACACACATGAGATTATAAAATTAGGTCGATCATTGAAAGGCTCATGAAATCCTCCCTGTCAGCTTGGTAAAAAGACTATACATGCGGAAGTAGGACTCAGAAGTAAAGTCCAATTGCAATATAAGAAGAAAGCAAAACCTATCTGCTGATCAATTAACGGACACATGATACAGAGCATCTCCTGCTCTGCTGGCTCCTTTACTCAGGATCCCGGGGCCTCTCTCTCCCTCTTTGCCATCACTGGTTAGAATGTGCATGATTATTTATCTTAATTTCTGAAAACAGGTTCTACCACCAGATGAGTGAAAGAGACCTGAGGTTTGTGTATTGATTATACATTTGCAAGTAGTCTTGAATTTCTACCCAAAAAGCATGACTTTAAAGCCACTCATATCTTAGTGATTAACCAGAAAGAATTTCATACCAGGGTGGTTGGTTTCTTGTTCAAGTACCCAAAATAGGGTTAGTAAGAGGACCTGCTCACTGGACTGTTGTGAGGGCCTGACAAGAGAGTGAGATACATATAGGTGTGCTGCTGCTGCTATTTTATTCATTCATTCATTCATTCATTCATTCATTCATTCATTCTCCATTGTATACTGACTTGCCACAATGCAGTCATTTCACCTTTTTTTTTTTTTAAGTAGGCTCTATACCCGATGTGGAGCCCAATGCAGAGCTTGAACTCATGACCCTGAGATCAAGACCAGAGCTGAGATCAAGAGTCAGACACTCAACTAACTGAGCCACCCAGGCACCCTATCATTTCACTTTGGTAAAGACTGACAATATATTTCTCTGAGACAAAGATGGCACATTCCTCTAGGCGCATTGGGCAATTACCATACAATATTAGTATTTATCTGGCTGTCCATAGTAAGCAAATATTAATTAGTCAAAGTCATGGGTTTTCAGTGAGAAATAGGCTGGACAGTGTGATGCAGATGGCTCCCATTTTGTACAGTGGATACGAAGAGATTTTTCAGACAAGCACCAGACTTCCCGTTGTAGAGGGTGGCATTCTGGCAAGAAGGGCAGATGGACTGTGAGTGCCTTAAGGTGAATAAGAACTGGCACACATGCTGGGGTCTTCCCAGAAGTAATTGTTTTCTTCCATTCAGTGGAAAAGGACAGAGCCAAAAATGAGAATGCCAGGAAAATGTAAGTGTTTCTATTTCTACCAAAAAACCTAAGTTTAATAAAGCCTCAGAAAGAGAGTAGTATATTTTTTAAGTTTTAGCCTCTAAGTAAAAGCTTAGTAGCCTTTGTTATTTGGGAAAAAAAATACAGAAAAGTATTTGGTTGTTTTTTTCTTCATCGTTTCTATATAACTAACCATGTATGGGTGTGTACTATAATGCTAGAAAGCTAATGTAAAGTATCACTTTAGGAAAGGAATAAAATCATCATACCATCCACGTCTCTTACCTTGATTCATAGCTCAGATATTTCTATTCTTGGAACATTGCTGCAGCTCTGGTGCTAAGAAAATTGCTGGTGGATGAAAAATGGAGTCTGCAGCCTTTTCACCCTTCACAGCGTTGGAACCCTCTGACTACTCTAACTTTGCAATGGTGCCATCTAGTGTTCACACGTCCTCAGCACTACCCCTTAACTTTGTTAGCAAAATAATGTGTGTAGCAAGCAAGTTACCTTAAAAACAGTGTGGTGGGGGGAAGTCAATATGATGAATTTCAGTCATTGAAACACTAGAACAGATTTTTCATTGAATTTCTTATTTCTCATTTATCATTATTGCCCCATTTATTTATTACACTTATTTCACAAATATGTTTATATATTCTGTCTATATGGTCATACAAATTGTAGACAACACTCCATGTTTTGAAGTTATACTTATTTTATATTTTATTTTTACATTATTCTCCATACCTAACTATAATTCTAACACAATGGTCGTTGTCTTTGAAGACAATACAACCAGCGTAGTTATGGGTTGTGGTTTTGTCAGTGCTGATGATTGTACCTTCAAAGGTCAGGTGCTTCACTACTTAGCCAGGGAAACAGAAGGGCTTTGATATGCATAAAATACAGTGTTTTTTTCCAAAACACAAAACAAAACAAAAACTAGTCTTACATATTGACACTATGATAGACCTATCAGTTTAAAAATTTTTTGTAGAAAGTAATTTGAGGGGACGTCTGGGTGGCTCAACGGTTGAGCCCAGGATGTGATCCTGGAGTCCCAAGATCAAGTCCCACATCGGGCTCCCTGCATGCAGCCTGCTTCTCTCTCTGCCTGTTTCTCTGCCTCTCTCTCTGTGTCTCTCATGAATAAATAAATAAAATCTTTAAAAAAGAAAGAAAGAAAGCAATTTGAGGAATTAATGAGTTCAGGCACAGTTTTCGAGGTGTCCCGGAGATGTGATTTTTATTCTCTTTACTAGCCTCTGAGTTGACTTCTATACTGCCTATCAATTCAGAATTGTAAGAAAAAAAGAATAAATATAATTATGAAAGAACAAAATTAATTTAAGACAGGCCCTATTAGATCACCTCCCTCATTTTAACATCTGTAGAATGTTTGACAAAACATCTGCCCTGACTGACTGACATGGAAATGAAAAAGCTCAGCTTTGCCTAATTGGAAGAGGGTGGAGTCCCAGGCTCTTGAGAATGCTGCCCACAGGCAAACCTCATCCAGTCCCACTCTGAAGTTGGCTCTCGTTAGCTTTTTGTTGCCTCCTTAAGGACAGGATGTTCCCTCCCACTTTGGGCTCTGTTTACCTGCCTTGCTTTAATCAGGAATGCCTTCTTTTGTGCTTCTGCTCTCACTCGGTTAATTATTACACCTCTTCAGACCTTGGCCTGTGCATCATTTCCTAAGAGAAGCCCTCCAACCCCTAATTGTTCTCTCCTGTTATTAGGTAGCATCCAACACTTTTTCTTATTACCACTCACCATACTTTGCAATATGTGTGTTATTATCTACTTAATATTCCTTGTCCCACTAGATTATAAATTGCAAGCAAGCTGCAATAATCTTTTTTAACCATTTGGGGTCCTAGCCGCTGTGTTTTCTATAGTTCAGTATGGTGTAGGCATGTGGGAAATAGCTGATGAAATCAACCTAAGTCCAAAATTGAGAACTAAGATGCCCATTGTCCCAGCCTGTGTAGATTTGTGATGTCAACACTGCTTGCATATCACCCTTGGGGCAAGAGACTACTCACTGAGGCAGAAAATTCAGCTATATTGTATTTTTCAAGGTCTACCTTCCTGGAGATATGCAGCACAGTGGGATATTCATTCTCAATACCTGCAGTATCCCTGACCTTGTCCACCACCACTCTTCCACTTCTCAGGGTCAATTGGCCTTTCACTCCCAGCACACCAATTCCTCCTTGCCACACTTCTATCCTCCTCACCCAAAATAATAAATAAATAAATAAATAAGCAAACAAACAAAATTCACTTCTTGTAGTCTTTACTGTGAGCCATCTTCATGAATTAACATAGAGATAGAGAGCACAAAATGTAAATTAATATTTGAAGAAATTATCCTGTCACTCTGGTAGTCAATAGGGAATAAAAATAAATTTTGCACATTATACAAAAGACAGGTGTATTTTCATTGTTTATTTTTGTAGTACATTCCTTCTCTTTCTAGAAGACTCTAAGGATTCCCAACTATGTTAGAATATTAGATGAGAAATCATGCTGAGAATCATCTTCAAAATCAGTTCTGCTTAAAAAGTTATAACATGTACAAAGTTTCTGATATCTGTAACCAATCACCAATGTCTTCTAAAGGATAAGAAATGAAGCTAGGATTCAGAACTGGTTGATTGTGATATTGAATACATGCACGCACGCATAGGTGGATTCCGTATTTTTTGTAATTTGTATTATATTTCATTTAAAGTCTGGTATCTTGGCATTGTTCTCCAAAGTTACCACTTTTGCCTAACATCAAGTACAGACAAAAGAAAAGTGCTTGAGCTTCTGAATATTTCAAACTGAAACTTCCCAGAGTCCTTCCAGATCCCTTTCTTCTCTACCTGTAGTAACATTTCAAAGGCAGAATGAAAGTATGTGCCTCTTAAAAGCTGAATTTACTGATTTAATTGCCAGTTCGTATAGAATTCTGACTCTTAAACATGTTTTCGATGAAAATCTAAACAGGATAATATAAAATTTACTCTGAAGAATATCTTCACACTTCTATCTCCACAGCAACACAGATGTACACACAGTGGCGTCACTTCTTAAACTCTATCTCCGAGAACTTCCAGAACCGGTCATTCCTTATGCAAAGTATGAAGATTTTTTGTCCTGTGCCAAACTGCTCAGCAAAGAAGAAGAAGCTGTAAGTGGATGCATCTATTTCTAAAAAGAAAGCCTTCATTTGTTTTTGTTTTTTTTTTTGTCATTGTTCTTAGTTTTTAACTTGTAAATTTCCTTTTGTCTCATTCTGGGATTGTTTTCCACTATTGTATTTATTGACATTATGCACACTTAGATATTACACACACAACTCAGGTCCCATTTTTGATCCCCTACTAATCAAAAAGAAAAATACAGGTCAATAAATGAAATGAGCACTCCTTGCCTACTTTGTTCCTCTAAACGATTATGTGCTGCATTAGGCCAAACATTCCATGAGCAAAGTGAATGCCTTATTTCATATTCTCTTTTTCATTGTGTTCCCCTCTAAATTACCTAAATTACCTCCTACCAAATCTTATCTACCAAAAAAACAGCTTTATTGAGATATAATTCATATACTATATAATCACCTATTTAAAGTATACATTGAGTGCATTCTAGTATATAGTTGACCCGTAAACAACATGGATTTGAACTACATGGATTCACTTACACATAGATTTTTTGCAATATGGTACTATAAATGTATTTTTTCTTCCCTATGATTTTCTTTCTTTTTTAAAATTTTTTAAATTTTTTTATAATAAATTTATTTTTTATTGGTGTTCAATTTGCCAACATACAGAATAACACCCAGTGCTCATCCCATCAAGTGCCCCCCTCAGTGCCCGTCACCCATTCACCCCCACCCCCCGCCCTCCTCCCCTTCCACCACCCCTAGTTCGTTTCCCAGAGTTAGAGGAGTCTTTATGTTCTGTCTCCTTTTCTGATATTTCCCACACACTTCTTCTCCCTTCCCTTATATTCCCTTTCACTATTATTTACATTCCCCAAATGAATGAGAACATATAATGTTTGTCCTTCTCCGATTGACTTACTTCACTCAGCATTATACCCTCCAGTTCCATCCACGTTGAAGCAAATGGTGGGTATTTGTCATTTCTACTGGCTGAGTAATATTCCATTGTATACATAAACCACATCTTCTTTATCCATTCATCTTTCGATGAACACCAAGGCTCCTTCCACAGTTTGGCTATTGTCTATGATTTTCTTAATATTTTCTTTTCTCTAGCTTACCTTTTTGTAAGAGTACAGCAAAGAATGCATTAAACACACAAAATATTTGTTAATCAACTGTTTATGTTATCAGTAAGGTTTCCAGTCAACAATAGGCTATTAGTAACTAAGTTTTGAGGGAGACAAAAGTTATTCATGGATTTTCAAGTTGGGGGGGATTGGCATCCCGAGCCCCCACATTGCTCAAGGGTCAACTGTATTCTCAAGATTTGTGCAACCACTACCAAAATCTAATTTTAGAATATTCAGCACATTTTCATCATCCTGTAGCCAATCCCATACTTATATCCCAGGCCCACCTACCCTTTCCCAGCTCTTGGCAGCTACTAATCTATTTTCTGGATCTATAGACTTGCCTATTTTGGCTGTTTCATATAAATGGAATCATTCATTACATTGTCTTCTGTGATGGCTTCTCTCACTGTTTTTTAGGTTTATTCACACTATTCCACATATACCAGTATTTCATGCTATTTATTTATTTATTTATCCATCCATCCATCCATCCATTTATCAGTTGTAGCACCTGTGCCTTGTTTCCATTGTTTGGCTATTATTACTAATGCTGCTGTGAATATCCATGTGCAAAGTTTGGCATGGACATATATCTGCATTTCTCCTGAGTATATGCCTAGGAGGCAGAATTGCTGAGCCATATGTAACTCTGTGTTTTCTAAAGAGGTTCTGTCATTTTAAATTCTCACCAGCCATGTGCGCAGATTCCAACTTCTGCACATTTTTGCCAACACTTTTTATCTCTGTTTTTTTACCTCAGGCATCCTAATATATGTGAGGTGAAATCTCATTGAGTATGAGTTACATGTACCTGATGGTTAATGATGTTAAGCATTTTTCCATGTACTTACTGGCTCATAGTGAGAGAGAGCTTGCTCACATGTGCCCATGTGGGGGAGGGGCAGAGAGAAGGGGAAAGAGAATTTTTAGCAGACTCCTTACTGAGTGCAAAACCGAATGCTGGACTCGATCCCATGACTCTGAGACCATGACTTGAGCCAAAATCAAGAATCAGACACTCAACAACTGAACCACCCAGGTGCTCCAAGTCTCTTCACTTTTTGGATGGTGTCCTTTAAAACACAAAAGTTTTTAATTGCAGAGAATCCAATTTACCTATTTTTCTTTTGTCACTCATGTTCTTAATGTCATATCTAAGAAGTCTTTAACCAAGTTTACCAGGATTTATTCCCATATTTTCTTTTAAGACTTTTGTGACTTTAGCTCTTACATTTAAGTTTTAAGATACATTTTGAGTTAATTTTGGTTTATGATATGAGGAAAGGTCCAACTTCATCCTGTGGCATATGGTTATCCAGTTGTCTCAGAACCATTTGTTGGAAAGACTATTGTTTCCTCCACTGGATTTTCTTGGCACTCTTGTTGAAATTGCTGCCTATTTTTAAAATGAAGTTTTACTTTGTTATGTAATATTGTCTGTGGCTGCTTTTGTACCACAACAGGAGAGTTGAGTAGTTGAGACAGAGACCATATGTCTCAGAAAGCTTGCAATATTTACCATCTGGCCTTTTTCAGAAAGAAGAACAAATCAAATTTGATTACATTATCTATTAGTTTTTCTGGGACCATTTACATTTTAGAAGGTCTACAAGGAGAAGAACCCAAGCAATTAATCCCTTTGCAAAATGTCCATGAAGAGCAGGCTTTTCATTCTCCATCCCACCCAGTGTATCCTAGACATGGCCCATCTTGAGAGACCTGTTTGTCAGTAGACATGTGTTTGTCTGTTTTGAGCATGCCAGAAACGGAAAAGACCTTCACTACATTAAGGCTACTTTTTTTCCCCCAAATAACCTTATTATAAATGAGGCTATCCTCCCTTTTCATCAACTGTTAGCAAGCACTAAAAATGTTAAAAAGGCTTCCCTTACATCTGTTTTTCCACAAATAGTACTTATGGAAATATTTGAAATACTTTTTAAAATCTTTGAAAATATTTGTGAAATGCCCTCTGTAATAGTGGCAAGGTTTCAGGACAGGATTCTTCACTGATGTTATGTGAAACTAATGAAAAAAAACCTGTATACCAATTTTTTATTTGCTTTAATTCCAAGGCCAACACTTAGATAACATTTGTTCTCTATTTCTTTTTACTCAGGGTGTTAAGGAATTAGCAAAGCAGGTGAAGAGTTTGCCAGTGGTCAATTACAACCTCCTAAAGTATATTTGCAGGTAAGAATTGCCCTAAAGACAAAACTAAATAGAACAAGATTATATTTAGCCTGATACTAACTTTTGACAATGAATAAAGTCACTGAACTGCTCTGAGTTCTAGTTTTGACCTCTGTAAAATTAAAGGATTTGACAAGATGATCTGAAAGGTTTCTTTGAACACTAAAATTGCTTGATTTTGTAATTTGTTTCTTCTGAGTCTTTCTTACTTCTACATATTAAAGATACGTAGCTTTGAACTTCCATCAAAGTTGTTTGTACATGTGCCATGTATCTTTGTTTAGAGAAGGAGCATTTACCTTGGCATGAAAAAGACCTGTATGAGAGTCTAGTTTTTTTTCCTTTTTTATATAAAATGTGCTGATTTTTATTTTATTTTTTACGTTTGTTTTTATTTAAGTTCAATTTACCAACATATAGTATAACCCAGTGCTCATGCCATCAAGTGCCCTCCTCAGTGCCCATCACCCAGTTACCCCATCCCCCACCCATCTCCCCTTCTGCAAGCAACCCTTTGTTTCCCACAATTAGGAATCTCTCATGCTTTGTCTCCCTCTCTAATTTTTCCCACTCAGTTCCCCTCTCCTTTCCATTATATCCTTTTCACTATTTCTTATATTCCACATACAAGTGAAACCATATGATTGTCTTTCTCTGATTGACTGCTTCACTCAGCATAATACCCTCCAGTTCCATCCACGTCGAAGCAAATAGTGGGTATTCGTCCTTTCTAATGGCTGAGTAATATTCCATTGTATACATAGACCACATCTTCTTTATCCATTCATCTGTTGAAGGACATCATAGCTCCTTCCACAGCTTGACTATTATAGACATTTCTGCTATCAACATTGGGGTGCAGGTGTCCTGGCATTTCACTGCATCTGTATCTTTGGGGTAAATACCCAGTAATGCAATTGCTGGGTCATAGGGTAGCTCTACTTTTAAATTTTTGAGGAAACTCCACACTGTTTTCCAGAGTGTCTGCACCAGTTTGCATTCCCACTAACAGTGCAAGAGGGAGAAAGGGGTTTCTCCACATCCTCTCCAATATTTGTTGTTTCCTGTCTTGTTCATTTTTGCCATTCTCACTGGTGTGAGGTGGTATCTCATTGTGGTTTTGATTTGAATTTCCCTGATGACAAGTGATGCAGAGCATTTTTTCATGTGCTTGTTGGCCATGTGTATGTCTTCTTTGGTGAAATTTCTGTTCATGTCTTCTGCCCATTTCATGATTGGATATTTTGTTTCTTGGGTGTTGTGTTTGATAAGTTCTTTATAGATCTTGGATACTAGCCCTTTATCTGATAAGTCATTTGCAAATATCTTCTCCCATTCTGTAGGTTGTCTTTTAGTTTTGTTGACTGTTTCTTTTGCTGTGCAGAAGCTTCTTATCTTGATGAAGTCCCAATAATTCATTTTTGCTTTTGTTTCCCTTTCCTTCATAGATGTATCTTTTTTTTTATAGATGTATCTTGCAAAAAGTTGCTGTGGCCAAGTTCAAAAAGGGTGTTGCCTGTGTTCTCCTCTAGGATTTTGATGGATTCTTGCCTCACATTTAGATCTTTCAATCATTTTGAGTTGATCTTTGTATATGGTGTTAAGAGAATGGTCTAGTTTCATTCTTCTGCACGTGGCTGTCTCAATTTCCCCAGCACCATTTATTGAATAAACTGTCCTTTTTCCAGTGGATAGTCTTTCCTGCTTTGTAGAAGATGAGTTGACCATAGAGTTGAGGGCCCATTTCTGGGTCCTCTATTCTGTTCCATTGAGCTATGTGTCTGTTTTTTTGTGCAGTATCATACTATCTTGATGATCACAGCTTTGTAATACAGCTTGAAATCCAGCATTTTGATGCCCCCAGCATTGGTTTTCTTTTTAGTGTTCCTCTAGCTATTCGGGGTCTGTTCTGATTCCATAAAAATCTTAAGATGATTTGTTCCAACTCTATGAAGAAAGTCCATGGTATTTTGATAGGGCTTGAATTGAATATGTACATTGCTCTGGGTAGCATAGACATTTTCATAATATTGATTCTTTCATTCCAATCCACGAGCATGGAAAGTTTTCCATCTCTCTGTGTCTTCCTCAATTTCTTTCATTAGTGTTCTGTAGTTTTTAGGGTATAGATACTTTACCTCTTTGGTTAGGTTTATTCCTAGGTATCTTACGCTTTTGGGTGCAATTGTAAATGGGATTGATTCCTTAATTTCTCCTTCTTCTGTATCACTGTTAGTGTATAGAAATGCCACTGATTTCGTGTGTTGATTTTGTATCCTGCCACCTTGCTGAATTGCTGTATGAGATCTAGCAATCTTGGGGTGGAGTCTTTTGGGTTTTCTACATACAATATCATGTCCTCTACAAAGAGTGGGGGTTTGGCTTTTTTGCCATATTGAATGCCTTTTATTGCTTTTTGTTGCCTGATTGCTGAGGCTAGGACTTCTAGTACTATGCTGAATAACAGTGGTGAGAGTGGATATACCTGTCGTGTTCCTGATCTTAGGGAAAAGGCTTTCAATTTTTCTCCATTGAGAATGATATTCGGGGCAGCCCCGGTGGTGCAGCAGTTTGGCGCTGCCTGAAGCTTGGGGTGTGATCCTGGAGACCCAGGATCGAGTCCCACATCGGGCTCCCTGCATGGAGCCTGCTCCTCCTTCTGTCTGTGTCTCTGCCTCTCTCTCTCTCTCTCTCTCTCTCTCTCTCTCTCTGTGTTTATGAATAAATAAATAAAATCTTAAAAAAAAGAGAGAGAGAATGATATTCGGTGTGGGCTTTTCATAAATGACTTTTGAGATATTGAGGAATGTGCCCTCTATCCCTACACTATGAAGAGTTTTAATCAGGAATGAATGCTGTATTTTGTCAAATGCTTTCTCTGCATCTATTGAGAGGATCATATAATTCTTGTTTTTTCTCTTGTTGATGTGATGTATCACATTGACTATTTTACCAGTGTTGAACCACCCTTGCATCCCGGGGATAAATCCCACTTGGTCATGGTGAATAATCCTCTTAATGTATTGTTGGATCCTATTGGCTAGTATCTTGGTGGGAATTTTTGCATCCATGTTTATTAAGAATATTGGTCTGTAATTCTCTTTTTTGGTGGTGTCTTTGTCTGGTTTTAGGATCAAGGTAATGCTGGCCTCATAAAATGAGTTTGGAAGTATTCCCTCTGTGTCTATCCTTCAAAACAGCTTTAGTAGAATAGGCATTATTTAAAAAAAAAGATTTTATTTATTTATTCATGAGAGACCCAGAGAGACACAGGCAGAGACACAGGCAGAGGGAGAAGCAGGATCCACACTGGGACCCCAATATGGCACTCAATCCTGTGACTCCAGGACCACACCCCTGGGCTGAAGGCAGGTGTCAAACTGCTTAGCCACCGATGTGTCCCAAATAGGTATTATTTCTTCTTTAAACGTTTGGTAGAATTCCCCTGGGAAGCCATCTGGCCCTGGACTTTTGCATCTTGGGAGGTTTTTGATAACTGCTTCACTTTCTTCCCTGGTTATTGGCCTGTTCAGGTTTTCTATTTTTTTCTGTTCCAGTTTTGACAATTTGTGGGTTTCCAGAAATGCATCCATTTCTTCTAGATTGCCTGATTTTTTTGGCATATAGCTGCTCATAATACGTTTTAAAAATCATTTGTATTTCCTTGGTATTGGTTGTAATCTCTCCTCTTTCATTCGTAATTTTATTGAGTCTTTTTTTATTTTTAATAAGGCTGGCTAGGGGTTTATCTATCTTATTAATTCTTTCAGAGAACGAGCTCCTGGTTTTGTTGAACTGTTCTACAGTTCTGGTCTCTATTTCATTGAGTTCTGCTCAAATCATTATTATCTCTCTTCTGCTTGGTGTAGGCTTTACTTGCTGTTCTTTCTCCAATTCCTTTAGGTGCAAGGTTAGCTTGTGTATTTGAGTTTTTTTCCAATTTTTTGAGGGATGCTTGTATTGCGATGTATTTCCCTCTTAGGACTGCTTTTGCTGTATCCCAAAGATTTTGAACAATTGTATCTTCATTTTCATTAGTTTCTATGAATCTTTTTAATTCTTCTCTAATTTCCTTGTTGACCCTTTCATCTTTAAGTAGGATGCTCTTTAACCTCCATGTGTTTGAGTTTCTTCCAAATTTCTTCTTGATTGAGTTCTAGTTTCAAAGCATTGTGATCTGAAACTATGCAGGGGAATCAGTTGAAACCTGATTTGTGACCCAGTATGTGGTCCAATCTGGAGAAAGTTCCATTTGCACTTGAGAAGAATGTGTATTCTGTTGCATTCGGATGGAAAGTTCTGTATATATCTGTGAAATCCATCTGGTCCAGTGTATCATTTAAGGTTCTTGTTTCTTTGATGATGTTGTGATGAGAATATTTGTCATTTGCTGAATGTGCTGTGTTGAAGTCTCCTACTCTTAGTGTATTATTACCTAAGTATCTCTTTACTCTAGTTATTAATTAATTGATATACTTGATCACTCCCACATTAGGGGCATAAATATTCATGATTGTTAGGTCTTCTTGTTGGATAGACCCCTTAAGGTATAGTGTCCCTCTTCATCTCTTACTACAGTCTTTGGGATAAACTTTAATTTATCTGATATGAGGATTCCTACCCCAGCTTTCTTTTGAGAACCATTTGAATGGTAAATGGTTCTCCACCCCTTCATTTTCAGGCTGACGGTGTCCTTAGGTCTATCATAAGTCTCTTATAGACAGCAAATAGATGAGTCTTGCTTTTTTATTCAGTCCAATATCCTGTGTCTTTTGATGGGACCATTTAGCCCACTCACATTCAAAGTAACTATTGAAAGATATGAATTTAGTGTCCTCATATTACCTATTCAGTCCCTGTTTTGTGGATTATTTCTTTGGGCTCCCTCTTTCTTTTACAGCGTCCCCCTTAATATTTCTTGCTGGGCCAGTTTGGTGGTCACATATTCTTTCAGTTTCTGCCTATCCTGGAAGCCCTTTATCTCTCCTTCTATTCTGAAT